TGCTGCTTCTACCAGGTCATCGCCGTGGAGCACGATGCATGGTGGGCGGAAGTACAGACGTGGGATTGACTACCCAACGGGGGGCGCGGTGCGAGTGGGGACTGCCCGGCGGCGCGCCGTTAGTGACCCTCGCACCGTTGCTCCCCGGCCCAGCGGCCGCGCCGAGGCACCGGCCGCCCAGGCCCCTCGCACACTGGAGCCGCCCTCTTGCCCTTCTTCGCAGGGGCGCACGTTGCACGGTGGACAGAGGTATGGATGTAGGATTGCCTGCCCGAAGAGGAGCGCGGTGTGAGTGGGGACTGCCCGGCGATGCGCCGTTAGTGACCCTTGCCAGTCGCTCTCCCATGCACGCCGCCGCGCAGGGGCCCGGGCTGCTCGCGATTCGATTTGATCCGGTCCGATCCCCAAACTTCGATTCCGATCTCGATCCGATCCGATCCAGCACGAACCGAGTCCTTCTCCAGCCTGCAGTGGGCGAGGCCCATCCGCGATCCCTAGCGATCCGATCCCGATCCGATTCCGCGCCGGTTCGGGCGCGATCCGATCCGTCTCCGGTCCGATCCGATCTCGCGATTCGATCGGGCTGGGGCTTGAAGAAGTGTGTTGTTCTGCCCCAGGTCTTCTCTCGCAGGCTTCATTGCTGGCCGCTGCCCCCGAGGACTCGGCCGACGAGGGAGGATGGAGGGGGGAGGAAGAGGCGGAGGGTTGAGGGACGAGGGAGGAGGGAGGAGGGGCGAGGGTGGAGGGACGAGGGAGGAGGAGAGGGGGGGAGTCGTCGTCGTCGTCGTCGTCGTCGTCGTCGTCCTCCTCGTCGTCGTCGTCGTCGTCGTCGTCTTGCGCTCCGCCCGACACGAGCTGTGGTGGGTGCCCCACGTGGCCTTCGCAGCGTACTTTTTAAGCGCAGTTCGGCGCCCATGGGCTTGTGGCTCTCCCCGGAGTGCCTGAAAAGCCTGCTACGCTTGCGCGCGCGCGTTGTGCTTCCTGTTCCTACTCGTCTCTGCTCCTCTTCCCTCATCCCTCCTCCTCCTCCCCCCCTTCCCTCCCTGCAACCTCATCCCTGCCCCTGCCTTTCTCCCTCCATGCCTCCCCCCCCCCTCCCTCCTCGCCACTCCTCCCTCCTACCTCGCCCCTTCCTCGTTCTTCGCTTCTCCCTCCCCCCCTTCCCTCCCTCCGCCCAGTAATATCAGCCTTGCCGCCGTCCGTCACCGTGTGGCGGCACCGCGTTTGCAGTACTCCCGTGCTTATGTTGGCTGATCTGGTGGCCTTCGGCGAGTTTGCCACCGTGCCTGGGTTGTAGGTGAGTGACCACTCACATGGTTGGTGGGATCTCGTGGGAGGCCTTTCGGGTGCGTCTTGGAAGCAGCTTCTGGGTTGTATCGTATCGTATCGTATCGATCGGAATTTCAAGATGTTTCAAATTTACATTCGGTTTACAACCGAAACTGTCAGCCGATCTGATGGTAGCCATATTGAAGAGGTTCAAGATCTTTCCAGCTTCACAGCCTAGCCTGAGGATGATGGAAGAGGCAGGGGGTGGGAGGAAAGAGGAGGAGGTATGGAAACGTAGGAAGAGGGAAGAGGAGGAAGGATGAGGTAGAAGGTAGGAGGTAGGAGGCGGTAGGGGAAGGTAGGAGGAGGTACGAAGAGATAGGGGGCGAGCAGGAGGAGGTAGGAGGAGGGTGGAGTTGTTAGGAGGGGCTTGGAGGAGGTAGGAGGTGGTGGGATGAGGCAGCAGACGGATGGATGAGAATGCAGAGGGTGGTATCGGTAAGGAGCCCTAGGACGTACAAGGAGGGGACAGGAGGATGAGGACGATGACGACGATCAGAAGGAGCACGATGAGGAGCAACAGGCACGATGAGGGGGTCCGAATAGAAGCAGGGGTGCAGCCCGGGAGGGCGACGAAAACAATTACTCGACGCAGGGGCCCCCGTATGTGCATATCATTATATGGGCACGTGTTTTATGGGAAGATGTCAATGAGCACCCGTGTGTCAGGGCGAACCGCTCGCTCGAGACATTCCCACAGTCTGCAAGTTTGAGTGCGAGCCAATCGCAATTTTGAGAACGACTGACGTCCCCAAGACGTTCCAACCAGCCCCAGGAGCTCCCAAGACGCTCCAGGCGGCCCCGGGGAGCCCTTGGAGGCATCAGAAGAATGAGGAGGAGTACGACGAGGACGTGCAAGAGGGGTCAGGGGGAGCGGGAGGAGTAGAAGGAGGAACCAGAACATCAGCAGGGTGCGGAGGAGTAGGAGGCAATGGACGAGGACAAACTCGAAAAGGAGGATGAAGACGACGAGGAGTGTAATGAAGGCGAGGAGGAGGATGATGGAGTAACGAGGAGAAGGGCGCAGTGCGAGCCAAGGTAGGAGGATGTACGAAGAGATAAGAGGCGAGCAGAAGTAGGTAGGAGGAGGGCGGAGACAGTAGTCGGAGGTTGGAGGATGTAGGAGGTTGTGGGATGAGGCAGGAGAGGGATGGAGGAGGTTGCAGGAGGTGGGAGCGCTGAGCAACCACAGGAGGAGGTACAAGGAGGGGAGAGAGGGATGAGGACGATGACGACGATCAGAAAGAACACGTTGAGGAGCAACAGGTATGAGACGGTGAGCAAGATGAGGAGGAGGAGAAGGAGGAGGAAGACGAGGAGGAGGAGGGAGGGCAGGAAGAGGACGAGGAGAACGACGACGACAGCGACGACAGGACAGGGGTGGGGCGCCCAGCAACGGCCGGTCGCCGCGCCGCAGGCTCAAGTAGCCTTGAGCGCTACAAGGGACTCCCTCGCCCCGGGCCCTCCCCGGGGGGCCGCTGGGCGCAGGGCGTGGCCATGCAGGCTTTTCCGGTTGGGCCTCGACCAACCGCGGGCTTTTCCGGTTGCGCCAGAAGCAACCGCGGGCTTTTCCGGTTGGGCCATAACCAACCGCGGGTTTTTCCGGTTGTGCCACAAACAACCGCGGGAGCGCCGGTGTCCATAAGCCGGTCCCCCGGAAACGGGGTGGTTCGTGGCGTGTGTCAGCAATGGCACACCCGCGTTCCTGCATGGGCCTTCGGGTCAGCCGGTGTCAGACCGGTGCCCCGAGAGGGGTGCGTCGTGGCGGGGTCCTCCGGGGCTCCGCCGCGTCGCTGCATAAATCCACGACCGAACTGTTCTGCTGTGTGGTGGGCCCGAGTGACCAGCTCTCGCAATGGGCGGGCTGAAATGGGGGAACTATCGCGATTTTGCGGAGGCAGGCCCTGGTGTATTGGTGCCAGAACGTCTCGTGTGAACGGTATACGAGGGAAACTATCGCGAGTGTGTGGAGGTGCCGGAGAGATAGGTGACGGAGGGCTGTTTTCTGGAAGATGCCGCTGTCTTTCTCCGACGGGTAGATCGGGAAAACTATCGCGTTTGTTTGTCCAGGTTCGTCCTCTCGACGATAGACGGGGGGGACAATCGCGAATTTGTCCGAAGGCGCGTCTTCTAGACGATGGAAGGGGCAGACGATCGCGATTTGATTCCCAGGTTCGTCCTCTGAGTGATAGAAGCTGGAAACTATCGCGACTCGGTTCAGAAACGCGTCCACTGAACGGCAGAATGAAAAAACTCCCGAGGAATTGGCCAAAGGCGTTTTCTCCACGCGATAAACGGGGGAAGCTATCGCGAACTTTCTCTTTGGCGCGTCCTCTAGAAGACAGGACGGGAGAGCGACGGCAAATTTCTGCCCAGACGCGCCTTTTGAGCGATGGACACCAAAGACTAGCACGTTTTGCTTCGCAGCCGCGTCGCGTGACCGATGGAAGGGGGGAATGCTCGCTGAGTCTCGGTGCGTGTGGCCCAGCCAGCGCGAGGTGTGGTCCAGCCAGCGCGTGGCGCGAGGGACACGAATCGGTGCGAAGAATGGCTCGATTTTCAGCGCCAGAAACGGGGGTACTGCGAAGCTCCGAGGAGGGTCGTGCGTGGCGTCTGCGAGGCGCGGGCAAGGCATCCGCGAAACGCGATCGTCGAAGGCGATCGTGGCGGGCTCGGAGAATACGCATAGTCGGCCACGTAGCGGGCGTTGTGAAGGGAGACGGAGGAGGAGGAGGAGGAGGAGGGGGAGGAGGAGGAGGAAGACGGGGAAAAGGAAGGGCCTGTGGCCGCCAGAGCCCAGCAGCGCGGACGTGCGTTGCTCGGACGCGATACAGGTGCACGACTGTGGTGAGAGCCCCGAGTGGGAGCAGTGCCTCCGAAAGGCAGACGGACGACGTCGTGGGCGCTTCGTTCTTTGACGTGCTGCGCGCAATCCTTTTCGTTGGACTCGGGCATGCTTCGAATCCGCGTGGGTTGTGGCGTATCGCGGCACGAGTGTCGGGCCGCGAAGCGCGCCGCGTGGGGAGCGCCCGCAGACCTCGCGCGCGTCGTTCGCCGGGGATTGGTGTGAACCGGAAGGTGCTCGACCAGGGTCGGGGCGGCAACGAGTGGAGCGAGGGCCTCGCGATGTGCGCAAGGAGCGGTGGCGTGCCCGTCGAGACACTTGGTGATGGAATGCTACGGGTTGCTGTCGCGTGGACGGCGTACGTGACTTGCGCGCCGAAGACCTCTGTGGCGACCCTCGCGGCAGACGAAGCAACCGTGGGGCCCTGGAAAAACAAGTGCTTGCAAGCTGCCGTAGCGCGTATGCAGCGCGGTCGTTGGCGCCGAGAAGCATTGCGATTCTTTTCGAGAGAGCGCCCCAACAATGCATTGTCGGGTGCGGGCGGGGTGGACCCCGTACCAAAACAGAACGTGGACGCGGTCCAGCGGTGGCTGTGTCAGCAGAAGGCTTTCGCGTGGGTCTACGAGGCAGAAAAAGTCGCGGATCTTTTGGAGGAGGGAGCCCGTTGGAGGTGGCGACTTGGTGATGCGGATGGCCGCTGCGTCGGGTCTGCCGTTTGGCTGGCCGAAGGACATGTAGTTCGCGTCGCTCATGGGCACGGCGTACTGAGCGGGATGGAAGGTGATCCTGTGCGGGCCCCGTGGCGACGTTCCGCGGCTGGCGCCAGTCGTGGCGGCAAGAATGGGGCGCCGGCGGCAAGCAATAGCGCGAGCGCGAGTACCGGGCTGCAGCATGACGGTTGCCCTGTCGTCATGGGTGACGGTTGCTTTTCCGAGAGTGTTCGGGCACTCGTAAACCGTCGGTATCGAAAGATGCTCACCAGCGGCCAGGGCGGCGCTTGTGGAATTAATGCGTTGTTCGGCACGGCCAGCCCAGATGGCCTCTGGCACGCCGATGCGAGAGGTTTCTTGCGACGGACGCTCGGCGAGACTGCAGAAGAAGTGCGCCGAAAGTGCCGCAATGCTCGAGCGCTTGAAGAGCTGATGAACTCGGCATGGAAGCATGTGATCAAGCCGCAGGCGGAACAGCATGCTGGTCTGAACGATCGGAATCTGGGCATGCTGGCGGAAGAAAAGAGATTGTGGGCGAAAATAAAGGGGAAGCGCCGTGTCATGAATGCCTGCGCGTGCGCCGTGAAGCAAGAGAGTGAAGCGTTGTCGGTCTTCGAGCAGAAGCGCCGCGAAGTTGCAAGTGCGCTGAGAAATTTATGCCGGAACGACATGAAAGATGTTTTTTTGCGCCCGCTGCTGACTCACATGGGCATTCTTGACGACTACGAATGCATAGGCGAGGACGGGCAATGGAAGATCGACGTCGCTGGCACAGACACAGAGCTCGGGCAGCATTACCGCCGCGGCATCGTGGAGTACTGCGGGATGAACAACGTGGACGCTTTTCTTGCGCACGTAAATAACACGGTGGCCGATCTGCAGGACCCGAACGTAGACAGAGCATTCGGCGCTGGAGTTGGTGACTTTGTAGAGTTAGTGAAGGAGGCCCGCGTGCACGCGCCCGTCGTCGACGCCGGGGAGTCTGTCTTGGTGCAAGAGCCATTCGAGGACTTCTTCACTCTTGTGTGCCCCTGTTATTTGGAGGCCTTATGCTCGGATGGGTATTATTTGAGTGATTTAGAGTTGATGTTGTTGTGCGAGTGCGCAGGTAGGAACGCGGTAATAGTGCGGGAGGTTTGGGAGGAGCGCGGGCTTCGTCGCCCAGCCTTTCAGCTGCGCAAGTATGTCTTGCCTGCCGGCGACTCGGCGAACATCACTCTTATCGGTATAAACGCTGATCTGGGGAGGAGCGCTGTGCGAGGACATTACGAGCGTTTGGAATGCTTGTCGAGAGCTGTGCCGCCGTCGCCGGTTCCGCCGACTCCGCGTGAGAGTTCGGAGGGAGTGGGACTTCAGAGAGAATTGCCTGATGAATATGACATCGTGGAGAACAACTCTGAGACATTGCCCGAGGGAATGGAGATGCCGAGCACCGATAGCGGAGGAACGGCAAAAAAAGCGCGAGCCGAAACGGAGGCTGAAAGAGTGCCGGCATCCACGCCGCGGTTAGGATTTGAAGGAGTCGCGGCGAGTGGGCGGCAGAGGGGCAGTGCGAGCGGCGGGGGTGTGGCGATGCACAGTGGCAGCTCGGAGGCCGCGAGTGGCCCAGGTGTGGTGGGCCAGCCTGATAGGGTGGTCATGCAGGCCGTCGGCGCCCGGAGGGGGGGCGCTCCGGCTGTCCACATCATCCCCCGTGACCTACTCGCGCCAGTGCGGGTCATCCGGGAGGCTGATTTCCGCGCTCTGCGTCTTTTCCGGGAGCCGACTTCGGCGCCGGAAGCGTGGGACGTGCCCGGCATGGAGTTCGTGCCCGGGGAGCTGTGCGCGCATCTCTGGAAAGCGTGGGGCGGAGCGGAGGCCCTCGGGCGAGTCATGCAGGAGACTTGGGTGCAGGGATGGTCAGGCTGGGGACGCGCATGGGATGCGCTGGCCGGGGCCCCCGACGCAGAGGACAAATGCCTCATTGTTGAAGATCACGCGGTGAGATTTATGGAGTTCCTCACGGGGGCGTTGGTGTTGGAGGCTGAGACGGACGAAGAACGCGCTGCGAACATGGCACGCGGGGGCCTGGTGGTCGGTGAAGCCCTAGGGCACGGGTCTGGCGCGAGCCTACCCGACAGTTTGTTCCAGCTCTTAGTTGAGGTGGGGTGGTGCGGGCAGGCGGTGGCGTCCCACGAGGGCCGTCGCGGCGCGTGTGCTGCGTGCGTGTCTCACCTGCAGAACGTCGGAGATGCCTGGCTGCACCCTAGTACTCACGATGGGGAGCTCCGACACGCAGTCCACGCAGGCGAGATCGTGAGGTTCGCACTGACGAATCATGGCATACAAGAGGCAGTTCTGCCAGAGACGATCATCATGCGCGTTTACTCTCGCTTTGACGGTCAGGTGGGGTCGCGGGGGGGCGTGGACATGAAGTTCTCCCGAGCGGAGCTGCAGGGGGAGAGGCCCGTGCTAGGCCACTGGCCGAGCGGAGAAGATGTGTCAAAGGCGAACGGAGACGTCGCACTCGCAGTGTACAACGCGACAGGGGTGAACATCCGCAGCACCTGTTACAGACCAGTGTGGGCGCGCGCCGAGGAGGACGCGCGGAAAAATGCACGGCGACAGGAGGGGCACGCGGCCGAAGAAGGAAGCGGGAGAGACGTGGTGGACGACAAGGCCGCCAGAACGGGGACGGCGGCGAAACGGGCCCGTGTCACAGGGAAGAGCACTCCGGTTGGCCCGGATTCTGCGGTCGCGGACGCGTCGCCGTCGGGTCCGACAAGCGTCGGCCGCGTAGAGGCGTCCGACGAGACAATCCCTCCACCGCCGCCTCCACACCCGGTGCAGCGCCGGGAAGGTGCGCGCAAGGCAGGTAGAGGAGTCTCGCCCGATGTGGCGGGGCACCCGAAGGCGGTACCCGAGTCGACGTCTGCGCGGGCCCCGAGTACGTCGGTGGACGGCACGGGTGGGCAGGCGGGTCAGAGCGGCGCGGAGATGAGCGAAAGCCGAGCCGTGAACGCCGACACAGCCGAGAGGTCGGGCGCGGCGCACGTGTACCGCGTCCGCGCAGTCGACAACGGCCACGTGTCCGCGGACGTAAGCCGGGGAGGAAGGGAGGAAGGGCTCAAGAAAGCGGCAGGTCTCATGAAAGAGCACCCCACCGTGCCAGCGGCCTCTGTGCACGGAGCAACGCTGGAAGGCGAGTCCATCTTCTCCTGCGGTGCCGTGGAGCTGCCGCATGATCATTGCGCTTTTGGAAATTGCGGGTGGCGGGGTTCCAGCGAAGCGGAGCTCCGCGCGCATGTCATAGCCGAACATCGCGAGACGTTGCGGGATGTCGCGGAAACGCTTGCATGCCACGAGAAAGACGAGGCCAGGCGGAGTGAAACACAGTGCTGGTCAGCGTACAACGAAGCGATCGCTTGGAAAGTGCGCGAGGGGGCGCCTCTCGCAGCACTGGCGATCGATCGTCGATGCCTACGCGAGTACGCGCGCAGTTTGCGGGAAGACGCCGTCCACTCTCTCGTGTGCATGGTGTGCGCGCGAAAGTTTCCCCGCGTGGAGGGCCGCAGAGGGAACCCGATTGAATGGCGCGCGGTCGCGCCAAGCGGAAGCGGATTTTTCGGGCTTCCGGACGCGTTCGTGCGGGAGAACATGACGGTGGACGCGTACGTGGAGCGGCATGGCGAAGTAGATGGCGCCGGGAAGGAGAGCAGTGGCGTGCATCTGCGGGACCGAATGGAGGAGTTCGAGGATTGGCGCGTGCGCGTGCCATCAGAAGACGGGCCAATGGAGGTTCTCTGTTGTCCGGAGGACATGCGGTGCGACAGCGCCACATCGCACTCTGGGAACACCGCGTGCAGCTGTTGCGAGGCCCCGTTGTGCGGCGAGTGCGGGAACGCAATGGTTGGCGCCCGCGGCGAACCGGCGCTCCCTCCTGCGGCGCTGTCCAATGACATGATGGCATTTTATTCGCCGGAGGAGCTGTTCGGCTGCAAGGTCACGGTGCTGGAAATGATCTGCGCGTCAGTGTGCATAACGTCGATGGTGTGTTTCACGCTGGAGAAACGATATCGGAAGGAGCGGGCTTTCGACATGGAGACGGGCGGCAACGAAGTCCGCATGGCGGCGCGCGGGAACGCGACTTCTTTCCCGATGCCGTGGACGGACTTGCTAGCGCAGTTAACCGCCGCGGAGGAGACGGCCGCCGAGGGGCGAGCGCCAGCACTGCCACGCTCAGGGGCGGAGCTTGCAGGAATCGTGTCCGTGATACTCAAGTCGGGCGGTGACGACGATACGGCTGCAAGCATGGCCAAGTTTGTGCACCAGGCTCTCGTGCGTAGGAAGGTGGTCGTGGACCTGATTCAGGGAGCGAAAGCGCGCGGACATCGTGCGTACCGAAATGTGGACATGGAAGATGTTCGGAAGAGGGCCCTGGCACTCCCGGAGGAAGGCGTGCCCGAGGAGATCATGCGCCTGGTGCCCCTGGACGATGCGCTCGACAAGATCCAGATGCAGAAGGCAGCGACGCCCGTTCCGAGGCCCGACGGAGTCAAGGAAGCGGCAGATATAATGGAGAGCACGAAGACGAACGCGGTGGTCTGCGAGAAGAGCAGCTTCGATGAGATGGACATTAATGCGCAAAGGATCGAGGCCGTGCGAACCTTCGTACAAAGGCTGGATGAGGAGTGCGTGCATGGCGGAGCAGATGAGACGTCGAGTTCGGGCGGGGAGGAGAGCGGCCACGGGCAACCGGAACGGGCACGTAAGCGCGTCTGCGTCCGCGAAGAGGCGGGCCCTGGGGCGGTGGAGTCGTCGCGGGAGGCGGTGGAGCGCGGCATGCTGGAGCAGGCGATGACAGAGAAGAAGCGCGTGGACCGCCTCCGCGTGCGCACGGGGAACGTGATGATGGATCAGTTCGAGCCCTGGTACTTCGGCGTCGCGTTCGCATTTTTGTTCATGTACTGCACGGGCATGCCAGATTGCCCAGAATTCATGAAGCGTCCGCGTCATCGCCGGGGTGGAGGGGCTCCGCGTGTGGAGCTACCACTGTGGGTGCGGATTATGAGTCGTCGCGTCGAGAGCCAGCTGTGTCGTGATTGGCATTTCGGGTTCGTGTCGTGGAACCTCGTGTTTCGTTCGGCGGTGAACCTGAGCAAGACGTGGTTCACGTACGTGTCACCGAACGCCGCCGGAAAGGTGGAGCAGCTGACGCCCGAGGAGATCGCCGAAGGAGCGAAGCAGATTTATCTCGCGCTAGACGGGAAGTACGTGGACATCAACGGCAGGAAACAGAAGGTCAAGGGCGACATGACGAAAGTGCGGCACGTGCCAAGTCTGGGGAAAGCCGCCCACAAGCTTCTCACCCACATCGAGCACACGTCGCGGCGCCTCTCAGGTACACAGGAATCCCGGCGCGTGATGAGGTTCGAGACGAACGCTCTGCGAGTCCGGTATGGCGTTCCAATCTTCGTAACGTTCTCGCCCGACGAAGGGCACAATCTGCTCATGGTCCGCCTGTCGCGCACGCGGCGGCAGGACCCTGCGCACAAGGCAGCTGATCATGAAGCGCAGTCGCGGCGGGCGGGAGATCGGGAGTGGCCGCGCGTAGCCCCCGACGTAGACGAGACGCGCCTGGATCTTCCAATGGATGCAGCACAGGTTGGGCTGCCGACGTGGGCCGAGCGTAGACGAGTCCTCGCGCGAGATCCCATGGCCAGCGTTGACGGCTTCCGCATCCTCGTGGACGCGACTCTCCGCCATTTGTTCGGGTTGCGGACTTGCCCGAACTGCCCGCGGTGCAATCACGCCGAGGGCGGGATGCCGTGCCAAGACCTGTTCGGAAGCAACGCAATGCCAGGCGGGGGCGCGTTCGGGCGCGTGGATGCATACTACGTGTCGATAGAAGCGCAGAAATCCACGGGATCTCTGCACGCTCACTGCCAGATTTTCATCCAGTGCCTGCACCAGCACACGCCGCTCGCAGAGGTGTTCGAAATCATCCGTGCAGACGTGCAGGACCGGGGGAGGAAGATCGTGGACGGGTATTTGGAATACAAGAAGCGCGTCTGTCGGCAGGTTTATTCGCAGGAAGTGTCGGCGGAGGACATCGAACGGAGGCTGGAGGCGGCGGAGAAGTCGTGGCCGGAGTTCAAAGACGAAGCGGGGCTCATTGGCAGGCCCGCGTTTCAAACGCGCACTCTCCATGCGAAAGCATCGCCGACGGAGGCTCAGAACGACGCTGTGGCATGGGAGAGAGAATACCTGAACGCGGACGTACAGTACTTGCAAGAGAGGAAGCAGAACCACGTCCACCTGAAAAATGAGGAGACCGGGGAACGAGTACCACTGCCGGCGTGCCGCCGGAAGGACAACCCGAAGTTGTGTAAAGCGGATTTCCCGCGCACGGCGCAGATCATCGACCGCGCCATCGTCGTGTGTCCAGGGCAGGCGGTGGCGTTGGACATGCCGAAGGCAGGGCGACGGAATCGGACTGGCAGCCTGCACGGGCCGATGAATCACGCGAACCTGAACGGCACGCATCCGTGCATGTTGTCCGCGCAGCGGTTCAATTCGGACGTGCAGCTTCCGTATCGATTTCCAATTACGGCAGGCTGTTGCACGTGCAAGAAGGGATGCGACAAGAAGCTCGACGATGCGGCGATCATCAGGGTCGCACAGCTGGCGCAGGACGCGCAGGCAGGATACGCCTGCGACTGCTGTACGAAGCGTCAGCCCATGGCTTTCCACGAGGTGAAAGAGTGTTGCAAAGGAGTCGAGAAGCTCGGCAGGGAGCTGCAGGGCGAGAGCGTGAATCGGATCGGTAAGAGGGTAGCGAACCGAATCATGAGCGACGCTTATGGCAAGGGCATCGTGCGCGGCCAAGTCGAATGTGCAAACCTGAGGGCATTCGCGCGAGAGGGCGACGTGACTGCGGCGGAGGCAATGAAGTCCTGTGAGACGGCAGCGTTTTACGGGCGCGAGTACGTGGATTTGGTCGAGCGCTTGGCAGACCGCGCGTCTGGGGGTCGCAAAGCTCAGTTTGCCGAAGTTGACATGCGGCAGAAGAGACGCCGAAAGGTGACTGTTCGAGATGTGGGCATGTTGTATGGGCTGCGTCCGAAGAGTTCCGGCCTGTGGGACCTATCTCCGTATGAGTTCGCAACGTACTGGACGCCGGTGTTACTGTCCTTCCCGACGAGAATCGCAGATGCGGAGAATCCGCGCCATCACGCAGTCTTGACGCAGCAGGGCAAGGACAAACTGCGTCAAGGGCGAGGGAACGCGAGTCTGGAGGAGGACTTGGTGCCCGGGGTGGACTACACGGTGAAGGAAGACGGAGGTGACGATTGGGTTCCTTATCCGGACACCGAAGGGTGCGCCCACCTTCGCCACACGTGGATTCTCCGGCGGAATAGGAGGCCCATGGCACCGACTTTTTTCGGAGCGCCCGTGCCGCGCGGGCGTCCAGGGGAAGCGGAGCGGTCGGCGCGCATCGTCATGACGTATTTCCACCCGTGGACCCTGAGGCCCGACGTGGCGGACCAACACGTAGTTTTCGCAGGGAACCTGCGTGGCGAAGCACCGACGTGGGACGCAGCCATGGTTGAGTGGCTCGACGGCGGAGTGCAGACGAAGGAGGCCGCGCGGTACGTGGGGAACTTTCTGAGTGTGTACCGCGTCCGGCCGCGGGATGCTGGCGAAGCGGAGGAACGGAGCGACGAAGACGTGAGCGACGTGGAATTAGACGTGGGCTTCGATCAGCTCGAGGAGGCGCTGAAGTCGCGCGTGGGGGGGAAGCGACGGAAAGACGGGGACGGGGACAGCGCCAGCGAGGAGGAGAGTGCAGACGACGGAGCAGGAGGCACATCTCATTACGACAACTCGAAATGGGGCATGGCTGTGGCGCAGCAGGCGCGGGGGCTCCGGGACGGCGAAACGCCGCTCAGCGAAGTAGCAGGCGCTTGGCCGGCAGAGCAGGCCTGTGACTTGGACCTGGTTCTCCGGGAAGCGCGGAAGTCTCGGAACAAAGAAAGTTCTATGGCCGACAGGATGACGGACGCGGCTGGAGGGGTCGTTGTCGCGGGCGCGGCCGCCACTTCGGCTGACGTGGCCAGGTGGCTCGCGGACCTCGAGTTCCGGGTGAACAAAGACACGGGGCGGCGCGTTGTGAACGCGAAGCAGTTCGAAATGGTGAAGCAGGTGGCGCGTCGGGTAATGCAGGAGATCGATGGCGAGGGAATGGATGAGGCGGCCATGGGGGAGCCCCTGCAGTGGTGCATGCACGGGGGCCCTGGGACGGGAAAATCACACGTCTTGCGCATTCTTCGCCACGAACTGTTCGAGGGATTGATGAAGTGGACGATCGGGGTGAACTTCCAAATCACCGCCCTGCAAGCCGTCATGGCGCAGCTGCTAGGAGGGGACACCATCCACCATGCATGCGGCATACCAGCTATTAAGCGGGGAGCCGAGCAAGGGGAGGATGTGAAGCTGGAGTACGAGACTGCCAAGCGCGTACTCCAGTGGAGGTGGTTGTTCATCGACGAGATCAGCATGGTGAGCGCCAGACTCTTGGCAGAAGTAGACGCGAAACTGCGCGGGGTGATCCGGGATGCGGGCACGACGAAGCGCGGAGACGCAGGCGTGCCGCGCCCGTTCGGCGGTTTGAACGTCGTGCTGAGTGGTGACTTCTGGCAACTCGCACCCCCCGACGGAGGTTTCTTGGCGGACGTCCCCACCGAGCGCATCTCGGCGGCGCGCAAGTACACATCCCTGCCCCCTGTGCTCCATGGCCAATCTCTGCTGTGGGGTGGACCGGAGTGCGGGGTGCAGGGCGTGACCGAGCTGGTGGAGTGCGAGAGGTGCGACGACGCCTGGTTGAAGGAGGTGCAGGAAGAATTCCGTACAGGGGCGCTGTCGGCGAACGCGCACGCGTTCCTGCACGGCAGGGACACCACCGTTACGGGGAGCTGGCTGCACGGAGACGTGGGTTGCCGGAATCGGGCATGCCGGGAGTTGTGCGATGGCGCAACGGATCAAGCGGCGGGTGCAGCGGGTCAACGTCGAAGACGCAAGGTAACGTCGAAGGAGATCCGCCAACAGGAGTGTCAGGTGTGCAGAGCGGAACGTTCGCGGCGCCGTCTGGTGGTGAATGGCCCAGACGACCCGCGTCTGCAGTCGGAGAAATTCCTCACCGCGCCAGGAGTGTTCCCGAACAGCGACGTCAAATATGAGGCCAACAAGCTACGAGCGTCACAGTACGCGCGCAGGCACGGGAAGCCGATGGTGTACGTCCCTGCGCGGGATGCGCCAACACCGGAGGCGCTCCGCGAGCGACCAGATCTGCCGCAGCAGAAGATGGCATGGCTCCAACGACACGACAAGGAGAGTGGAGACTTGTACGGCTTCCTGCCCATTGCAGAAGGCATGCCAGTTGCTCTGACAGATCACATAGATCGTAGCGAGGACAAGAACCTCCTGCGCGGACGCGTCGGCCGCGTTCAGTCTTGGGTTTGCGACGGGGACGGAGAGCGCGATCGGGTCACACGCGGGGGGGAGACCATTCTGAAAAAAACACCGAAAGTGATTTTTGTATTGTTCGACGAAGGCGACGACGGAAAGGGCGGACGGAAGCCGTGCGAGTGGACGATCGAGGGATTAAAGACGCCGGGCTTGCATCCGGTGGTTCCGCAAAAGAAGGAGTGGTTTGTGGACAAAGGTCGGCCGCACCCGCGACTGAAAGTCAAAAGACGGCAGTTCCCGCTTGCTCCGGCCTTCGGGGTGACGGCCCATGCGGCGCAGGGGCAAACTTTTAAGCAAGGTGTCATAGTGGACCTGAGCATCGGCGGGGGCACGTCCCCTTTGTCGAGCTACGTGGCACTGACGAGGGTACAGCGCCGTGAGGACATGCTTATCTTTCGCCCTTTCGACATTGCGCCGTATCAGAGGAAGGACGAACGGAGGGGCCCGGCATTGCTGCTGCGCGCGCTGCGCGGGGAAGTCTTGGACTGGGAGGCGATAGAGAAGGAGTTCATGCCGTCCGGAAGGCGCGCGGTTTGCGGCTGCACGAAGTACAAGAACATGTACCCGACGGTGGGGCAATGGAGCCGCGCAGACGGGCTGCGCGTGTGCAGCGCGTGCCTGGAAGACAAGAAGAAGTTGGGCACCCCGTGGCAATGCATTGCATGGAGTGTTCTCTTTGGAAATGCCTGGAGGCGTTCCCCGCTTCGCAGCACCACCCGTCGAAGTTGACCACGCGGCGCTGCGTGGACTGCCCCGAGAGACGGAGTTGCCGCGTGTGCGAGTTTCGGAAGTACGAAGAAGCGTTCGCGCCGTACCAGTGGGACCTTGCAGGGAACAGCCGAGGCAGAGGAGGAATGTGCGCAGAGTGTGAAGAACTGAAGAAGCACCTCGTTTGCGGTCGCTGCAAGGAGAGCAAGATCGCCACCCACTTCGCGAAGCGCGATGTGGACGACGAGGAGCGCGTGTGCGACAAGTGTAAGAGGGAGGAGAGGAAAGAGGTGAAGCGGCGGGAGAGAGAAGCAGAACGGAAGAAGTGCACGCGGTGTGGTGAGGAGAAGCCGCGCGACTTGTATTCTGGGTCCATGTGGGAAGAGAGGCCCAGGCCGCGAGAATGCATAGAGTGCGTCGAGCGGGCCGCAGCCGAAAGGGTCGAGAAGCAGAAAGACGCACGGAAAGAGATGAGGAAAGAGTGCACGGCTTGCGGCGCGGAGAAGCCTCAAACCGCATTCTGTGGGAAGATGTGGTCGAAGGTCGCCAGCAAACAGCGCAAGTGCGACGAGTGCGTGAAAGGGGCCAAAAACCAGCCCGGGTATTGGAAGTGCGTGCAGTGTAAGAAGTCATTCGAGACCGCGAGGTTTAGCGCGTGGTTGTCCAAGCGAACGACGCAGAGGCCGAACGGAACGCAGCGTTGTAATGAGTGCGACGCAGACCAGGAGCGCGGCCGGAAGCGCGTGGCAGACCGGTCGTATGCCGTCGTGGCGCGAACGACAGAAAAAAAAGTAAAGCGGAATACTGGGGGAGATGAGGGCGGCGTGGGGACGGAAAGCACACAGGAGACGTCCAGAGGCTGAGGGAGAGGAGGAGGAGGCTGGGCGCGTCCGGGGTTGGTGTGGGGGGGGGGGGGTCCTGGTGAGGTTTCTGTTGAGCGGGGGTCCTTCAAACCTCTGAAGTCTCCGGGTTGCTACGAGAAACTCATGCCCAGAGGCCTGTGGAGGCTGGGTGTGTCGGGGCGTGTGGGGGGGGGGGTCCCGGTGAGGATTTTGCTGGCCCCGTGCAAAAAAACCATGCCCAGAGGCCTCAGGAGGCTGGCTGTGTCAGGGGGGGTGGGGGGGTCCCGGCGTGGATTTTGCGGAGTGGGGGGGGGCTTGAAATGTACGAAAAACCCATGCCCAGACGCCTGAGGAGGCTGGCAGTGTCAAGGGGGGTTGGGGAGGTTCCAGCGAGGATTTTGCTGAGTAGGGGGGCCTTGAAATCTACAAAAACCCATGGCCAGAGGCCTCAGGAGGCTAGCTGTGTCAGGGGCGGTGGGGGGTCCCGGGGAGGATTTTGCTGCGTGGGGGGGCTTTGAAATCTACGAAAAATTATGCCCAGACGTCCCTCAGGAGTCTGGCTGTGTCAGGGGGGGGGGTGGGGGTCCGGGCGTGGATTTTGCTGGTGGGGGGGGGGTCTGAAATCGACGAAAAAACTCATGCCCAGAGGCCTCAGGAGGCGAACTGTGTCAGGGGGGGTGGGGGGGTCCCGGCGAGAATTTTGCTGAGTGGGGGGGCCGTGAAAACTGCGAGAAACCCATGCCCGGAGGCCCGGCGAGGATTTTGCTGAGTGGGGGGGCCTTGAAATCTACGAAAAACCCATGCCCAGAGGCTTCAGGAGGCTGGCTGTGTCAGGCGGAGTGGGGGGGTCCCGGCGAGGATTTTGCTGAGTGGGGGGGCCTTCAAATTTACGAAAAACCCATGCCCAGAGGCCTGAGGAGGCTGGCTGTGTCAGGGGGGGTGGGGGGGTCTCGGCGAGGATTCTGCTGAGTGGGGGGGCCTTGAAATCCGCCGACAAACAAATGCCCAGAGGCCCAGGAGGCTGGCTGTGTCAGGGGGGGTGGGGGGGTCCCGGCGAGGATTTTGCTGAGTGGGGGGGCTTCGAAAGCTAGAAAAAAAACCCATGCCCAGAGGCCTCAGGAGGCTGGCTGTGTCAGGGAAGGTGGGGGGGTCCCGGCGAGGAGTTCGCTGAGTGGGGGGGCAATGAAAGCTACAAAAAACCAATGCCCAGAGGCCTCAGGAGACTGGCTGTGTCAGGGGCGGTGGGGGGGTCCCGGGGAGGATTTGGCTGCGTGGGGGGGCTTTGAAATCTACAAAAACTTATGCCCAGACGTCTCAGGAGGATGGCTGTGTCAGGGGGGGTGGGGGGGTCCCGGCGTGGATTTTGCTGGTGGGGGGGGCCTGAAATCGACGAAAAAACTCATGCCCAGAGGCCTCAGGAGGCGAACTGTGTCAGGGGGGGTGGGGGGGTCCCGGCGAGGATTCTGCTGAGTGGGGGGGTTTTCAAATGGACGACAAACCAATGCCCAGAGGCCTCAGGAAGCTGGCTGTGTCAGGGGGGGTGGGGGGGTCCCGGCGCGGATTTTGCTGAGTGGGGGGGCCGTGAAAGCTACGAGAAACCCATGCCCGGAGGCCTCAGGAGGTTGGCTGTGTCAGGGGGGGTGGGGGGTCCCGGCGAGGATTTTGCTGAGTGGGGGGGGCTTGAAATCTACGAAAAACCCATGCCCAGAGGCCTCAGGGCTGGCTGTGTCAGAGGGGGTGGGGGGGGTCCCGGCGAGGATTTTGCTGAGTGGGGGGGGCTTGAAATGTACGAAAAACCCATGCCCAGAGGCCTCAGGAGGTTGGCCGTGTCAGGGGGGGTGGAGGGGGCCCGGCGAGGATTTTGCAGAGTGGGGGGGCCTTGAAATCTACGAAAAAACAGTGGCCAGAGGCCTCAGGAGGCACGCAGTGTCAGGGGGGGTGGGGGAACTCGGCGAGAGGCTGGCTGTGTCAGGGGGGGTGGGGGGGTCCCGGCGAGGATTGTGCTGAGTGGGGGGGCTTTGAAATCTACGAAAAACCGATGCCCAGAGACCTCAGGAGGCTGGCTGTGTCAGGGGGGGGGGGTCCTGGCGAGGATTTTGATGAGTGGGGGGGTCTTCAAATTTACGAAAAACGCATGCCCAGAGGCCTCAGGAGGCTGGCTGTGTCAGGGGGGGTGGGGGGGTCCTGGCGAGGATTTTGCTGAGTGGGGGGGGCTTGAAATCTACGAAAAACCCATGCCCCAAGGCCGCAGGAGGCTCGCTGTGTCAGGAGGGGTGGGGGGATCCCGGCGAGGATTTTGCTGAGTAGGGGGGCTTTGAAATCTACGAGAAACCCATGCCCAGAGGCCCCAGGAGGCTGGCTGTCTCAGGGGGGGTGGGGGGGTCCCGGCAACGATTTTGGTGAGTTGGGGGGCTTTGAAATCTAAGAAAAACCCATGCTTAGAGGCCTCAGGAGGCTGGCTGTGTCAGGGGGGGTGGAGGGGTCCCGGCGAGGATGTTGCTGAGTGGGGGGGGCCTTGAAATCTACGAAGAAACCATGCCCAGAGGGCCTCAGGAGGCTGGGCTGTGGTTAGGGGGTGGGGGGTCCCAGCGGAGATTTTGCTGAGTTTGGGGGCCTTTTGAAATCTACGAACAAACTCATGCCCGAGGCTCAGGAGACTGCTGTGTCAGGGGGGTTGGGGGGTCCCCGCGAGGGGGGGGTCCCCGCGAGCATTTTGCTGAGTGGGGGCTTTGAAATCTATAAAAATCCCATGCCCAGAGGCCTCAGGAGCTGCTGTTTTAGGGGGGGTGGGGGGGTCCCGGCGAGGATTTTGCTGCGTGGGGGGGGCTTTGAAATCTACGCAAAACCCATGCCCAGAGGCCTCCGGAGGCTGGCTGGGTCAGGGGGGTTGGGGGGTGCATGCCCAGAGGCCTCAGGAGGCTGGCTGTGTCAGGGGGGGTGGGGGGGTCCCGGCGAGGATTTTGCAGAGTGGGGGGGGCTTGAAATCTACGAAAAACATATGCCCCAAGGCCGCAGGAGGCTCGCTGTGTCAGGAGGGGTGGGGGGATCCCGGCGAGGATTTTGCTGAGTTGGGGGGCTTTGAAATCTACAAAAAACCCATGCCCAGAGGCCCCAGGAGGCTGGCTGTGCCAGGGGGGGTGGGGGGGTCCCGGCGAGGATTTTGCTGAGTGGGGGGGCTTTGAAATCTTCCAAAAAACCATGCCCAGAGGCCTCAAGAGGCTGGTGTGTCAGGGGGGTGGGGGGTTTCCCTGCGTGTTTTGCTGAGTGGGGGGGGGCTTGAATCTACGAAAAACCCATGCCGCAGACGCCTGAGGAGGCTGGCAGTGTCAATGGGGGTTGGGTATTCCAGCGAAGGATTTTGCTGAGTAGGGGGCTTTGAACTCTACAAAAACCCATGTCTGAGGCCTCAGAGGCCTGGCTGTGTCAGGGGATGTGGGGGGTCCCGGCGAGGATTTTGCTGAGTGGGGGGGCCTTGAAATTTACGACAAACCCATGCCCAGAGGCTTCAGGAGGCTGGCTGTGTCAGGCGGAGTGGGGGGGTCCCGGCGAGGATTTTGCTGAGTGGGGGGGCCTTCAAATTTACGAAAAACCCATGCCCAGAGGCCTGAGGAGGCTGGCTGTGTCAGGGGGGGTGGGGGGGTCTCGGCGAGGATTCTGCTGAGTGGGGGGGCCTTGAAATCCGCCGACAAACAAATGCCCAGAGGCCCAGGAGGCTGGCTGTGTCAGGGGGGGTGGGGGGGTCCCGGCGAGGATTTTGCTGAGTGGGGGAGCTTCGAAAGCTACGAAAAACCCATGCCCAGAGGCCTCAGGAGGCTGGCTGTGTCAGGGAAGGTGGGGGGGTCCCGGCGAGGAGTTCGCTGAGTGGGGGGGCAATGAAAGCTACAAAAAACCAATGCCCAGAGGCCTGAGGAGACTGGCTGTGTCAGGGGCGGTGGGGGGGGGTCCCGGGGAGGATTTGGCTGCGCGGGGGGGGCTTTGAAATCTACAAAAACTTATGCCCAGACGTCTCAGGAGGATGGCTGTGTCAGGGGGGGTGGGGGGGTCCCGGCGTGGATTTTGCTGGTGGGGGGGGCCTGAAATCGACGAAAAAACTCATGCCCAGAGGCCTCAGGAGGCGAACTGTGCGTCAGGGGGGTGGGGTCCCGGCGAGGATTTCTCGGAGTGGGGGGGTTTTTGAAATTGACGACAAATTCACTGTGCCCAGAGGCCTCAGGACGCTGGCTGTGTCATGGGGGGGCGGGGGGGTCCCGGCGCGGATTTTGCTGAGTGGGGGGGCCGTGAAAGCTACGAGAAACCCATGCCCGGAGGCCTCAGGAATCTGGCTGTGTCAGGGGGGGTGGGGGGGTCCCGGCGAGGATTTTGCTGAGTGGGGGGGGCTTGAAATCTACGAAAAACCAATACCCAGAGGCCTCAGGGACTGGCTGTGTCAGAGGGGGTGGGGGGGGTCCCGGCGAGGATTTTGCTGAGTGGGGGGGGCTTGAAATCTACGAAAAACCCATGCCCAGAGGCCTCAGGAGTTTGGCCGTGTCAGGGGGGGTGGAGGGGGCCCGGCGAGGATTTTGCAGAGTGGGGGGGCTTTGAAAATTACGACAAACCCATGCCCAGAGGGTTCAGGAGGCTGGCTGTGTCAGGGGAGGTGGGGGGGTCCCGGCGAGGATTTTGCTGAGTGGGGGGGCGTCGAAATCTACGAAAAACCAATGCCCAGAAGCCTCAGGAGGCTGGCTGTGTCAAAAGGGGTGGGAGGGTCCCGGCGAAGATTTTGCTGAGTGGGGGGGCCTTAAAATTTACGAAAAACGCATGCCCAGAGGCCTCAGGAGGCTGGCTGTGGCAGGGGGGGGTGGGGGGGTCCCGGCGAGGATTTTGCTGAGTGGGGGGGCCTTGAAATCTACGAAAAACCAATGCCCAGAGACCT